AGTTTTTATGTACATGTATCCACATATCTGCTGGACCTATACTTAGTTTGAAATGGCCAGGTCATATGGAACTTCAGTTTAACTTAAGTATATGTTTCCAAATAGTTTTCCTGAGAATGCTTCAAAACATCTTGACATTTACAATGGTTTCTAAAAGAGAAACAGCTTTTCTCTAGAGTCTTAATCTGAAATAATTTGTGTATATTTGATTCCACAACTTTAAAGTGGCAGATAACCAATACAGTTTATATTTGTTTGGAAATGAAGACACCATGACAACCAGCAGAATAATGTGTGGAATGCTTGGCTGTAAACAGAAGTGTCTGATTCACCAGGCTCTGCATAATATCCCAAGAAGCAGGAGGTGTAGAAGGACTGGAGAGGAGAGAAGAGAAGGACAAGATAGGTGGAAACGAACAGAGACTGCTGATTCTGCCAAACTTTGGTGAAATATACTGGACATATAATCTTAAGAAAAATTAGCATCACGTTCAAAATAAGAGCTCCTCTCAGTTACAAGACTTGAAGTCTGTTGGGGCTGACCAGCAGAAGCTAAGCAATGGATGAATAATTACTCTGACTCATGTTTTTGTGAAAGAGAGGGCTAAGGGACTGATTGGCTTGAGAAACTAAACAGCCCCATTCTCCTGCCTCCTTAGGCTTTTAGTGTAGCAACAGCTTGAACTAAAATTAACTAGACACTATCAGCAGGGTAAGCATCCTTGAGAAGACACATGCGTCTGCAGTGTCCTTTGAGCAAGGACGTCTAAAGACTAAACATAAAGATTCCAGTAAAACACCCGGGGGCTCAGACTTGTTTGGAAAAGTCAAGGCAGGAGTTGCCGCCTTTGGCAAGTTCTCCATAGAGGCCCCAACCTTCGGAGATTCCTCCTACAAACTTTCCAACCAAGTTCGTGCTTCCCCACCGAAGTCCACCTTCAGGCTTGGTCATATTCTACCATTTGGGAAGGGTAATTCCTGGGTAGCTCTCCACTCACTGACCTAACTGAGCTGTTCAAATTGGGACTGGAGCACCTCAAGCTTTATGGAATAAAACAATC